CCCGAAACCTATAGCGTGGGAAAGACGATGTCGCCCAGGGATTGAGTTGTGCGACTTTAAGTATTCTTGCTGTTCTTGTTGTAAGCCACAAAGCTTTCGCTCCGGAAGTTCTGTTTGCCCATCTGGTAATTGCCCGGTAAGGCGGCTTCCAGAAGATGTACAGAACTGGCCATTAGGTATCGGTGTCCCTCCAGCGGAGTAAAAATTATGCATGTTACGGGTGAAATCGCTAACACGTTGTGAAGCAGGGCCTCTGTCGTTCGAGCGGAGCTCATTAAAGGGATGATTAGCTGGGATATCGATTGTGTCATCAGGTGCGAGAAAACCAGCCCCATGGGAACTGAGGTTGGGGGATTGGAAGCGGTTCAACGATGGATCATACGATGTGCTTGAGTGGTAGGATAGTCTCTGAGCTACAACGTTGGGGTTAAAGTTGTAGTAGGCCTCATCCTGCACTTGAAGTTTGCCCACGCCAGAAATTAGATCACTTTGACTACCGGTATATCTGGGACCAGCATCATGAGAATCGGAATGAAAGGAAGCGTGAGCTGAGTGAGCGGGTCTCTGCGGAACAACTGAAACTGAGCTATGGGAAAAGTGGCCATATGGCGAATGCTCTTTTGACCCAGGGGTTTGATCGGTACCGTTTGGAGAGAAAGATTGGAGATTTAGCGAATTGATGGCCTTTTCGGACAATGGTGCATCTATGTCACATAAGGAGAGACCCTGTTTATGAGGTAAGGATGCACCCAGGTTGTTTCTCAAAGGAACGCAACTCATACGACGGCGGCCAGCTTCATCCGATCTGTAAGTAGTAAGCCCCACGACAGCAGAGTTATCCTGGGCTGGGGATGAGGGGAAAATATCAGGATGAGTGATGAATGACATATTGTTAGGCGTGTGAGACGGGTGACCGATAGTGGAGGATTGAGAAACGGAAAAATACGAAGCCGACGTGACACTAGACGTATTGCTTATCCCCAGGGGAGTACTGTGATCATTTTGCAGAACTTGTCTGGGAGGATTGGCCAACGGGCCACGTAGTTGCGACGTTGAATTGGAGAGATCCCAAGGTGAGTTGTTGCGTCCCGACCAACCGTCAGATTCAGAAGTTGACAACAGAGACCCAGATCCAGTTTTGCCTTCGATTGGAAGCTCAGGGTTAGGGTCACGACCTTTGTGGTCTACTGGGCGGATGAAACAATAAGTCAGTTTATTCAACAATACCAACACCGTTTTTATCAAGTTGGTTTGGGGGGAGAGAAGAGAAGAGAAAATTATACCTCTCCGTTGACTCTTGTCAATTGCTGTGTCGCCAAAGCCACCTCCCAAGCTGTTGCCCCAGATATTACTGTTCCAGTTTGTCTTGGGAGTCCCAAATGTTTTGCCAATACTTGAAGCAGGGGAAGGTTTTGAAGGATCAGTATCTTTCAAAGCGGATGAAGTGCCGATAGTAGAAGGCTGAACACCGCTCTGAAACGTTCAGTATCGTTAGTTGTATTCGTTGTAAAATTCCTGGTTAAAAACAAGTGCCAAATGCCATGATATCCGGAGGGAGCAAGGAGGCAAAACTCACTCTTTGAGCGTCTTCTAATGCTAGAGCCATCTTTGGAAGAAGTAGCTCAGAAAGAATAATAAAACGAGCTTGCAAAAGTTATTGGTACAATCAAATATTGTCTTTGAAGGGCTATGTTGAGGGTATCTCGACGGTATTTGTAGCTTTTGAAGCTTTTGTTGGTACACAATAGACAGTGCAGAGTTAAAAGAGATTTGGGGGTGAGGGGGAGAGAGATTGTGAGAAAATGTTCACAGAGAAGCTATATTTGCAGGATACCATGCACATAAATCGAAATCAAGTGGGATGGTAAAAATAATAAGTGACTATTGATCACGTTAGCATTATTTGAACAATGAATCACTCGGAGAAGTGAAGAATCGGTATTAACCATAATAAGTGAATATTAGTGCACTTACCACCGGAATGAAGAAACAAGAATCCTTTCAAGATGAAGCTGTTGATCAGCTTGAAGCCGGAAATGCCAGGTCATATACACAATATACAGTGTTGGAAAGATAGGCGAATGGCTTCTAAGACTGGAATCGAAAGCTAGTTGAGGAGAGAGTCCAGGTAGAAGAAGGGGGGGGGGGAAGAAGATTAATTGAGGGTATCAAGAAAATAGAGAAAAGAAAGCCCACGAAAGGAAATATTTGCAGTGGCAGGGATTGAAAAAAGGTACGGGACTTGTGTGTACAGAAGCGGCGGGTATAAACGTAGGGATGTAATGAGCCAGGTCCGATATTCTAGCTGAAAGCGAAGCGGGCAATTGGACAAGCAAGAGGTAAAGTAGACGCCGTCTTCGTTTGCCTTCGCAAATCGCCGCAGGCAACCGGGATGAGTGGGTAAAGATATTGCCTAGTCGAGAGAGTGAGGACAACCTGAACTGGGGAGGCGCGATTAGCGTCGTGGTGCTACTCTATAACTCATTAGGGTAATTAATATTATCTCTTTTATTGACAGGACATCAACGAATCGGTCGAACGAGGCGGGGTCGCAAGAACAGGCGAGAAACGGAAGGGCGAGAATGTCCTAGTCGCCTGATATTTGTGTAATGGTGGTGGAAGACAAGGGAGGACAGGTTTGGAAGTAGAGAGCAACAAGGTACGTTGCTCAAGGCCAACGGTGGGCATGCAAACCGAGAAGGGTAAGAAAGCGCAAAGAGTTCCGCAGACTAGTGGATAAGAACAGGCGATTTTGGGAAGCGGATCAAGGGAGAGAAAAGGAAGCGGTCACGACAAACACGGGAGGGGGAGGGGCGGAGGGAAATAGACAAAAAGAGGAGTGCGTGTGCGAGCGAGAGAGAGTGTGTAAGTGTT